GGTTTGTTTGTTTGTTTTGGTTTTCTAGAAGAGCATTAACAAGTCTAAATCATATTACAGGTCAGAAAACAATTTAAATCCACTATAGACCCCAATAATGTGATAAGAAAGATTGAGTGAGTAAGAAAGAAGAGCCCAGCCAAAACCATTGACACAGGAAAGAGGTTTGAGGAAAGTTCAGATGCAAGGCAGTGATATTGTTTTACAGAACATCAGATCAGTGGTTCAAAAAGTGATCGACTCCATTTCATTTAGCTAAGGTGAAAACTGAATTGCAGAGAAGTTATGTGACTTACCCAGATCATACAGTTCAATGGTACAAGATCAGTTAGAGGAAATATGTTTATTGAGCATCTGCTAGATAAAAGATACTTTAATAACAAATACAAAGACAATGTATTTGTCTGAGACATGGAGGTTGCAATCTATTTGATTTGGTAAGAGGTAATGTATGCAGATATAGGAGCATGTGTATGGATATTCTTGTGTATGATATGTATATATGTCTCTATTTGTGGTTTTTGTCTTTTAGGACAAAAGGATAGAAGAATAGTTTGGGGCCAGAGGGTCCTTATATGCAAGACTAGCTTAATCCTTTATGTAATAGGGAACCAATGAAGAATTTTAGGTAGGAAATTACATGAATAAGTTTGTATCTTAGAATGGCAGTGGCAGTATGGTTGAGGATCTGGAGAGAGAGAGAACCCAGGAGCAGTAGACCAGTAAGGAGGATACTCTAATGGTCTAGTGAACATTGACGGAAGGCCTTTTCTAAGCAGTAGCTGTGGGGATTGATGAATACACATTAGCTAGAATATTCATGATAGAAATATGTAAGCATTAATAACCCTTCTTGATATTCACAGCTGACAGTAATTCTCAAGCATCTTCAGACACCTAATTTCTTATCTGCCTCTCATGAGATAAGACAAAATGTACCTCAAGGATTGTCTGCCCAGAGAGCACCAGAGAGTCAAGGACAGACATAAAAACTGGTCCTAGGCCTCTGAGTTCCAGCTCACTCACATGCCATAGGGGACACTTTGTGAACTGAAGTGTATATGTCATATAAAAAATCAGTCACCAGCCTCCTACCCAGCTGGCTGAGATGACCCCATTTGTATCAAAAGGACAATTCAGGTTGAACTTGGAAAGGAGGAGTGGTTTTTATCCTTATAAATAAATTGAAGTGACCCCTTACCACCTCATCCTGTACAGTTGTATCAGTATTTGAGAGTTTGAACGAAAAATGCTCTCAATAGCAGAGAAGACTAAATAATTAAGGGGGTAAGTGAATTTGAGTTAGGTCTGAAAAGCTCAGTCAACCAGGGATAAGCTACATAAACACAAAACATTGGCAGTTACATCTGCAGTTTGGCTCTCAGCTCTGCTGCTTGTTTGACTCATTTTTCTCATTGTTAACATGGGCATAGTTAAACCAGTCTATTCATTTGTTGTAAAGGTGAGATGACATAGTGTTTGTGAATGTGTTCACCACCGGATCGAAAAGATAGTAAATGATTCATAAAAAACAACAGGAAAAAAAAGTAAGCAGTGTAAAGTTGTGGTTTAAGGTCATTGACTGGGTACAGGCCATCAGGGTTTAAATCCACACTGAACCACTTACTAGTTTTGTGTCCTTGGGCAAGTAATTTCACACTATTAAGCCTCAGTTTTCTCATCTATAAAATGTGGATTAAAGTCATACTTCACAGAGTGTGTGTGTGTGTGTGTGTGTGTATGAGAATATGTGTATATATATTTACTGAAAGTTTACTATTTGTGCGTATATATATATGTTGCGTGTGTGTGTGTTTGTGTGTGTGTGTTTGTGTGTGTGCGTGTGCTAAGAGTATGTGAGGAGCCCTGTGATGCAGTGGTTAAGAGCTCGGCTGCTAACCAAAAGATTGGCAGTTCAAATCCACCAACCACTCATTGGAAACCCTCTGTGGCAGTTCTACTCTGTCCTATAGGGTCACTATGAGTCGGAATCAACTCAATGACAACGGTCAATATGTGTGTGTATGTGTACAAATAGTAAACTTCAATAAATGTTAGTTATAGTTACTAACATTTATCATTAAATATTTTTTCTTTTGCCATCCAAAGAAAGTTGTTGCACTGTTTAAAGGTATGATATTTTTGGTTCATTAGCAAATTTGACTCTTTAATGAATCTTGGAATCTTTGAGTTAGATGGGAACTTAGACACCATCCAGTCAAATTCCCCACATTGTTGGGATCCAGCCCTTCATGAAAACTTCCAAGGATGAGAACTCCTTCCCTTTAATGACCTCTTGCTCTAACATATGTTCACTCTGATAGGACAGGCTTTCTTTGATTAAAGAAATCACTCCCTGCTATTTTTTCCCTAAATGAACCCAGATTTCCCCTCCAAATTACCCATAGAAATTACCCATAGAGAACAACCACTTAAGTATTTGACATTCAGATATTCACTTTGGTTTTCCCCACCCAAAAAAATTATTTTTGAATGCAGCCTAATATTAGGATAGCTCTTGTGCCAGGAACATTACACTGTTGGCTCATAATATACTTGAGGCCACAATAACACTTTTATTTTCTTTTTTAATGTGAACTACTGCTAAATTGTGGCTACCTCACACTGGACTACTACAATTGTTTTCCTATTCCTGATTTCAGGACTTTGCATATATCCCATGAATCTTTACCATGAAAAGTTTAGCTCATGTTTGCAATCTGTAGCCATCATTTTAGATCTTGATGCGGCCAAGAGTCCCTTCCAACACAGTGATCTCAAGATATTAGAAAAGCACATGCTCTGACAGACCTGCTGTCAAGTTACTTGATGATCCCCCAACACTTAAGTTGTGATGATTTTTCCTTTCTGTTAGGAAGTAAACGGCATATGCTTTCCTCTTCTAATGATTTCACAGAGATCTTTGTGTCTGTTTTCAGAAGATCAATTATACATACTGTGACAAGGAAAAAATATGTGAAATGTCTGTAAATTTACTGTGAAGATTCCCTTTCTGTGTAGAATTTTTTTTTAGTATTTCTATGAGAGAATATTAAGAAAAATGTGCTCTTATGCCAAACAAAATAAGAATATTATGGTTGGATGTCACTAATAAACTTTTCTCGAGTGAATCAGGGAAGTTGTCATTGGATGTGCCTAATAGTCCACAATTTCTGCACCAAGTAAAGCTGTAAAATGGGCTGACTAAAACTGGCTGCTTACAACTTAATATAATGTATCAAATTCATACCTTGTTACATATGTATTCTATGTTTAAAAAAAAGACTATTTTTAAAAAAGAGTTATTTAAAAAACCATTGTTTAAAAAATAATAAATTTTAATTTTGAGTGCTTTGTTACCTTTAGGTGCTTCATGATTGCTGAGGACCCAGAACAGCCAGGTTTCATTCATGTTTACAGCCTGACATCAGCCTCCTTTCTGGGTGTATCTCTCAGGATTTCCTAGCCACAACGAGGGGGAGGCTGGAAATTTTTGTTTTTCTTTCAATTCTTCAGGTAGCTCCTTCTTCCTGATAGCCCTATCAACACATTCACTGGACAAACTACTACTCACTCTTCAAGACCATACCCAGCTACCACTTCGAGAAGCCTTCAGAAACCTCCCCAAGGCAATTGTTGCACCCTGTCTATTCTCTCACAGACATCGTTTGTGCCAGTTCCCAATGGATTGGTTGATTGCTAGTGACTGGAAGTCCTTATTTATAAGAGAAACATAGAGGAAATATATTATCTCACAAAATATAAAGAAAGGTTAAAAAATAAAACTGCATGAAGGGCAGGAGGACAGCTCAAGTTCTAGAAGATCCAGGTCCTGAAACACTTCCAAGACTCTCTCCCCATGATTTGTTTCTGCTTTTCTCTTTCTTACTTCAAAATGATTTTCTTCACAAATTGAAAAATATAGCTTTTCATAGTATCCAAGCTTTAAGTCTTTCACCATCTCTCACTAGGGAGTTATAGTTGCCTGTTTTCCTCAGAACCAGTTTGAAAAAATTTCAGGGAATACTATGACTGGGCCATCACTGGACTTATCAATTGCAGCCAAGAGGCAAAATGCTATGATTACCTTGGTTTAGGTGTATGTACTCACCATCACCGGACCAAGCTACTGTGGGTAGGGAAACAGAGTTATCTAAAAACAGGAAAACTTGTAATGAAAATATCTAGTTTGAGCCTGTGGGGGTGCAGTTTTCAGGGGAGGGAGGTAGGAAAGGCTGGGCCAAGAATCCCATAAATGTTCATTTTCTCCTATTTAGTTACATTTATTTTCATGACTAGATTGTGAAATACTTGAAGGCAGTGACTATATGTTAAGACAGTGGCAATGTCTTATTTTCCTTGGACTGAAAATTTATTTGGCCTGAGACCTCTTTCTCTCTCTCTCTCTCTGATATATATAAACCCATTGCTGTTGAGTCGATTCCAACTTACAGTAACCCTATAAGACAGAGTAGAACTGCCCCATAGGGTTTCCAAGGAGCAGTTAGTAGATTCGAACTACTGACCTCTTGGTTAGCAGCCAAGCTCTTAACCACTGCACCACCAGGGCTCCGATATATATATATGTGGGTATATAAGTAAATAAATACATATATATATATATATTTAATAACACGTGTTGAGTAACATACTTAACATATGTTACTGTGTTAAGTAGCATACACCTCTATTGTTAGTATAGTCTTTGTGGTGTTTGGAACTTTCAGTAGCTAATCTTCATAGTTTCACCTAGACACTGAAAAATAAGTCACAATATTTTATGAGTTGAGTTCTATAAGAAAAAAGCAGACAGAAATAATATTTACATAAAGGACCAATTTAATAATATGGATTTTTCTCCAAAAGGAGCCTTGAACTTAATCAACAGACACTTAGTTCTGGTTACCAAGTGATATGATACGTCTTTTTAGTAATTTCCTGAGATGCTATTTGTACTTTCAAGGATCCTTGGTAGCTAGTTGAGTAGACTGATTTGCCTTTCAAAACAATTTGCACCTCTGTGTTTCTGATGCTGTGTCTCCTTTGTGTTCGTTCTTGGCCCGATGACATTTCTGAAGGTTTAAATTCTTCTGTTTCTTTTGGATTTGCCTCCTGCAGGAAGGTGCATACTCAGAAGGACTACTCATTTGTCTTTTATCATCCTGATCCCATACTTTATTGCTGGCTTCCTCTGTAGTTTGTTTATCTGGACACTGGCATTTGTTTTTTCTGTGCTCAACTGCACTGTTTTTTCTGGCTCTAGGAAATGTGGTTCTGTGCTTTATCTTCTGTTTACTTGGGGATCTGTGTCTCTCAGTCTGTAGGTATGTGGGACTGTTACGGCTTCCAGCGTGGAAAGTACTGTCAGCTGTAGAAGGACACTTGGGTTTCTCCCTAGTAGGTGCAGAAAGCTTCATACATTGGACCATAGCTGAAGATCCCCGCCCATGGTTTAATTCATAGGCATGTGCATTTTTTTCTTTTGAGGGCTCACAGCATATATTCTGCACAAAGTGCTCACCTTTGCAGCTTCCTCCCAAAGAGAAATTACTAGATTCTCTGCTTACAGATCTCTTTCTATACCCAATGCACCAGGATTTGGATCTCTGAGTATTGGACCTTGATCTTCTCTTGATTGTTCTGCTGGAGTGTGAACCAACTTCTGCAAATTGAGAGGACTGTTTGCATTTCATCCTCTTCTTCTTGAAAGAACATAGCTTTCTACTCTCTCTCTTAGGAGAAAGGGTAGTTTCTGACATGCAGCTCCAAGAAGGGTCCCTCTTTCTAGCTTTGCAAGTAATCAAGGATCTTTCTCTGGACAATCTTCTTTGAAAAATCTTTGGTGAAGAATCTGAGTATTTGTTTCTTTCTGCTTCTTTTTTCTGGAAATTCATCTGCTGGTCAGGGCTCAAACCCCTTCTTTCTCTTAAACTGTACTTCCATGGTTGCCCCTGATTAAAGATTGAGGGAGTGCTCAAGGTACTTGCAGTTGTTTCACTCTTTCCCAGATCCTGGACATGACCAGGAAACAACTTCATCCCTTCTGTCTTCCTGTCTTGAACATGTGTTTTGCAATTCAGTAAGCTTGTCCCCCTTTCCCTTGGTGTAGCCCAATTTAGAAAAGAATTAGTAGAAAGTGTGCCTTTGTGATCACCTGATTCTAGTTTGTCTTTGATCCAAGCATGGGTTTTGCTTGCTGTTTTATGATGGACTGGTGGGATTTCAGATTTCTTCAAGGAAGAGTTACCATTTGGAAATGGCTTTAAGCCTGACGGAGTCTTCTCCTCATTATTCCACTGACCCTGGGCATTTTTATACTGCCTTGTATCATGGTGAGATACAAGTAGAGTCTGATCCTCAGGCAAAGGTGAAACAGGAGCTGATGCAATGGATTTCTTCTTTACAGATGGTGAAGGAGCAGGACACCGATAGATGGCCCGCTGGTCATAGGTCTCCATGTTGTAAGGTGAATGAACAAAACTGATAAACTCATGAAGGAAATGATGGGTGTGCTGTAGGAGATAAGGTTGCAGAAGGTTAATGAAGGACTCACTGTCCAGATCATATTCTGTCATGTGTTGGAGGATGGTAGTTAAGATATTCTTCACTGTGTAGCCATAATCTCCATAAACAGCAGTTAGTTCCCGTTTCAACCAGGGAATCAGCCGGTGTAGGCAACCTGGATTTCTCTTGAAATAATTAGCTGAAAAGTGCTTTTCCATTCTGTAGCCTTGAACATGTGACACCCAAATTCCAGAATAATACAGAGCTCTTCTAAACTTCATAACCACCTGATCTCTAAAGTGTCCCAGGGAAGTGGAGTTTGGTTGGAACTTCTTGCTATCTCCAAACTCACTCAATAACTCTTGGATAGTCAACTCTTTCAATGGTCTTGTTTTCCGTGGAATGCCCTCAGAGGTCAGTCCGAGATGATTGTTTTGAGAAGACTCTAAAGAGCTTTCATCCTCTGAGGACAGAAACACTACATCTTCTTCCTTGGTATCACTCTCTGGCCTGGTGGAACAACACTGAGAAGAAAGGCTCTGCACAAAGGAACGTGTGAATTTCTTTCTTGATCTTGAATATAAAGAGTCATTACCATTCTCGTTGCAACAGGAATTCCAATCAGACTCATTCTGAATATCTTCTAAGCAGTTACGACACTCACAATCAGATGAGCGATCGAATGGCATTGCCCTGAACGGATTATATTTCACGGTCGTATGTGAGCAAAATTCGTTCAAATCAATTCCTCATGTGGCATAAAAAATATTTATTAAAAACAGTCCAACAATATTTTTGTAATGGGTTGTGTCTCATGGAACAAATATTAGAATAAAAGGTAAACAAAAAATTATTCTCTCAAATTAATAATGTGCTCAATAAAACCCAACATAGACAAAGCAATGGGAATACAGGCACACTCATATTCTCTTTCTTGCTCAGATTAGTTGTTGCAAACTCTGGAAAGCAAATTGAAAATTAAAATTAAAATTTAAGAACTATATTCTTCGACTTAGCAATTCTAACTCTGGAGATTTAATCTAGATATGCAAATTTACCAGCATTTATGTGTTGATTGGTTTTTTGCAATAACAAAAAACTGAAAATAACCTAAATATCCATCAACAGGGGATTTGTTAAATAAATTATGGTTTATCCATAGTATGTAATATTATATATAGCCATTCAAAAATATGAGGCAAATCTATACTTACTGATATGAGAATATATTTTGGTAAATGAAAAAATTAGTTTATATAAGAGTATAAAAGATGATTTATAAAATCCTAGACAGTAAGCATTAATTTCTGGCAGAATTGTGAACTAGACACCCTGAACAATTCTCCCACTTGGAATAACAAAACAATGATAGCGATAGTGGTAAAAAACACAGATTTTTTTTTATAGGCATTGCTAACTTTACCAGAAAATAAGTGAAATCCTCAGAGGTTAAAAAAAAAAAAAAAAAAAATTAAAGATAAATAGGAAACTAGAGAGGGAAGTGAGCACTGCTATCATCAGTTGCCTGTATCTGGTGACCTTGAGCTTTGATTCTGATAGTCAGAATTCATAGCTGCAGTGGATAAGAGACAAAGAATGGTCTCTGTCCGAGGTCAAAAATCTAATAGGAAACCCCTGCATAACTGTTTGTCCCCAAGTGCCTACATCATCATTGAAAATGTAAGTTAGGAAAGAAAAAAATCACCCATATAAGGGTCAGTAGGAAATACTAGCTAAGATTTTTTTGTGATCAGAAACTATTAAATGTGTCTCCAGACTGAGTTCACACAATCTGTTTTCCTGAAAACCTCAAGATGATAATTTATTTTGAGGTTGGTAGTAACCTCAGGCAACTGAAAGAGGTAAATGAAAATTCTTCCTGGAGAAATGCAACTTAAACCCATGTCTCACAGACAGATTTCCCTTAAAAAAATGAGCTCACAATAGAAAGAAAGAAGTCATCATAAGCAAGAGTCCATAGAAACAGTAAAGAGCAGATCTGGTTCCTAAGAGACTCCAGATATTAAAATTATCAGAATCAGAAAATAAAATGACTATGCTTGATGTGTTCAAAGAAATAAGAGCATTTTGAAAGTATTAGAAAAAACAAGTCTATATTACCAGATGGATTTGAAACACAACCAAACAGAATTTCTAGAAATTAAAGACATAAATATTAAAATTAAAAAATGAATGGATAAATCAAACAACAGAATAAACAGAGCTGAAGATAGTGATTAGTGAACTGTAACAGAGATCTGAAAATGTAGCATAGGATATATTACAGAGAGGAAAAAGATGACAATTTATGGAAGTTAAGAGACAATAAGAATAAAGTGAGAAGGTGTAAGATTCTTAGGAAATTATAGAGAAATTAAGGAGAAGCAGTATTCAAAGAGATATGTCTGACAACTTTCCATAATGTGTAAAACATATAAATCATCAGTTTCAGGGTTGCAGTGAATTCCAAGTATGATAAAGAAAAAGAAATCCATACCAAAATACATCAAAGCAAAACTGCACAACGCTAAAGATAAAATGACTTTCCAACTGTAATTATGAAAACCAAAAATAGTTGAATGTGTCTTCAAAGTGCTGACCAAAGCATACTCTTCACACTAGAAATACATATCCAATAAAAGTATCTTCCAATAATTAGGACAAAATAAGGACATTTGAGAGCAAATGAAACCTGAAAAATTAAACACCAACCAACCCTTTCTAGAGGCACTTGTGAAAGAGTTAGCTCAGGAGGAAAAAGACTCCAGAAGGAAAATACAAAGGTCATCGATGGTACTAGATGTATTCTCTTTCTTAGCCTGGGTGGTGAGTATACAGGCATTCACTTTACTGTTATTATTTAAACTTTTGATATTAGTTAATATTTAATTAAAATTTAATTCCCCCAAAATAGACATAAATAGCAGAAGATTATACATGGGTGGAAAAATTCTTGGTGGATATACAAGAAATGTTAATAACAAATCTGGGTAGTGGACTTTGGTGTCGGGACAGAAAAAAAAAAAGAAAAAGGTGCTTGTAGTTTCCCACTTATGCCTTCAATACTGTTGAAATTTTTTAATCATGAGCGTGTATTTATTTCTAATTAAAAAAAATACTAGCTAAAATAAAATTGCATCTATGAAATAAACACAATGTACTAAGTTTGAAAAAATTGTATCTTGAAATCTTAGTCTATACATTTTGACCATTTCAGAATGACTTTTTCATTTTACGCTTTGATTTAAAAAATTGCTCAAAATTTAAGTAAATATTTTTAATTTAGCGTGACTTCTCAGTATGTTTGATGTTTTTAAACAGTGGAAATTTCTAATTTCTTAAACTCATAGAATCTTAGAGTTGGAAATAATTTCAGATATCACCTCATCTAATGATCTTCATGGAGCCAGGCAGAAAGCTCTTCTAACAAAAGCATAAACAGAAGTGCAACATGTTACACATAACGTAGCCCTATCTCAGCCTTCCTTCCTTCCTTCCTGGCACAGCCTATCCCATCCCACTCATGACTTTCAAATGTGACTCCGCTGAATCACTAGGGCCACCATGGAGTTTAGTTTAAACAACTCTTGTCTACTCCATGTCTAACTAGTACAGAAATCCCTTATGAGATGGCAGATTGTCATCTGGTTTCTAATACATTTCCACTGACACAGTTATCCTAAGACATTGCTCACTTCATTTCACTGCTCAGTTCAGACTAGTCTAAGGTTAAAAAAGGTTTTCCATGTCTCTAGCTGAAATTTTTCATCATGTAACTTCAAAATATTAGCCTCAGCTATGCTATGGTTCTAAATTCCCATTCTTCTCCATCCAAACCAAACCAAACACATTGTCAAGTCAGTTCAGGCTCATAGTGACCCCTTTCACTTGGCAGTTCTCATGTGCCCCTTCGAAGTACCACCTTCCAACCCAGGCAACTGGGCTCTATGCCCTGGTCTCCTAACTCTGGAGCCTTCTCAGGCTATCTTCTGTCTATGTCTCTTCTAACAGGAGGGGCCAAGCATTCATGCCATCTGCAGTCACTCCCTCGCCCCATAGATCATGCTCCCAGTTCTTAGGACTCCTAAATCTCCTGGTTAAACAGTTCTTGGAGGGTTGTACCAGCCTTCTCTGGTTCATTCTCAAAGGCCAGAGTATACAGATTCAAGGGGTGGTTATGAGATGAATGGATGGAATTTGGGCATGGAGACTGGGGTGCATGAGGCTACTCATAGTGCCAGATGTCAGGGAAAGGGGACAGCATGCAGGTGAAGGGGTCCTCAATTTGTTCTCTTACCCCAAGCTTCACAGTCTTAGGAGCAAGCCTACTTTCATAACTTTAAATTTCCCCAATCCTTTCAAGTATATTTTTGTGTTTCTTCAAGCATGTATTTATGATATTTTATATAATTCCTGCTAATACCAGATCACTAAATTAAAAATAGCCTGCATCTAGAAATCCATCTAAGTTATACAGTTTTAGTTAATTATTACTTTTTAAACAAATATAGCCAAGATGTTTGCTTAACTTCCATTCTGTCTCTTGAGGTCTCAAGCCACCCTTTTCAGAGGCGACGTTCTCACCAAGTCTTCATTTATCTTGAAATGCAAAAAATGACAAGAATTACATTATTTAGCAAATTTACCTCCCAGAGGATCTGGAGGTGTCCACACTCATTTGAGCCCGACTGATGGATTAATTCGGTTGTAGTGGCTCACCTCTGTTTCGTTTACCATAGAGACAGAATTTAGAACACAGGCCAAGTTCTGTTGCAGCCTGGTGCAAGAGAAACAGCTCCACATTTTCCACAAAACTTGACATCTTAGGTTTCCCAGCAATATCCCAAGTGGCTTTTAGATGAAATCCCCAAATAGAACAGGATTCAGATCCATGACTTAGATGTTACCAGAACTCTTTTCTAATTTAAAAAAAAAAATTTGCCTTGGAGTTGGTTTTGACTCATGGCAACCCTATGTGTGTCAGAGTATAACTGTGCTCCACAAGGTTTTAAATGGCTGGTTTTTTTGGAAATAGTTCATCAGGCCTTTCTTCTGAGGCACCTTGATGTGGACTCAAACTGCCAACCTTTCGGTTAGCAGCAGAGCATGTTCACCATTTGCACAACCCAGGGACTTCAATTTTCTAATAGACCAAACAGTCTGACTCAGAAGAAAGCAGAAGCAGTAGATGGAATATACCTCTTCCTGATGAGTGAATCCCCAAAGGATCAGTTGCTAGTTTATTATTAATATTTGGATTTAAATGATGTAATCAGAAAAGTGTCACTTTCTCTGTAAATGCAAGTTATGGAAACTCTTGTAAACATGCATGCAAGGTGGTTAATCAACATCTTGGTGTTTCTTGTCCCATATTTTGAGGCCCAAAATGATTAAAATTTGTGATTTTTTTCAGGATATTCACCCATGCTTGGCTAAATACCAGTTAATACCAACAACAGAATCGGAAGATCACTCAAAAAAAAAAAAGTTTTCTTATTGTTACTCTTTCTTTCAGTTTAGTAACTGTGTTTACCCAGATTGGTCAACCTCTCTGAGATCCAGGATTAAACCAATACATCTCATGGGATGTTTCTGAGGATTAAATGAGTTCGTGCTTGTTAGTGCTTGTCCTTTAATAGTTGTTCAGTTGAACAGGCATTTAGTGTTATTTTGAGTGGGTTCCGTTAAG